ACCCTTGCATCTCTGGAATAAATCCGACTTGGTCATGATGGATGATCTTCTTAATAATCCTCTGTATTCTGTTTGCTAGTATCTTATTAAGGATTTTTGCATCTATATTCATTAAGGAGATTGGTCTGTAGTTCTCCTTTTTGGTTGTATCTTTCTCTGGTTTGGGAATCAGAGTGATACTTGCTTCCAGGAATGAATTTGGAAGTATAGCTTCTCTTTCAATTTCATTGAAAAGTTTGAAGAGTAATGGTAGTAGTTCTTCTCTAAATGTCTTGTAAAATTCAGCAGTGAATCCATCAGGGCCTGGGCTTTTCTTTGTTGGTAAGTTTTTAATTACATTTTCAATTTCACTGATTGTGATTGGGGTGTTTAAAATGTTTTTATCTTCTTCGTTCAACTTTGGTAATTCATAAGTATCTAGAAATCTGTCCATTTCTTCTGTGTTTTCCATTTTATTAGAGTACAGGTTCTCAAAGTAGGTGTTCATGATCCTCTGGATTTCTTTCGGATCTGTTGTGACTTCGCCTTTTTCATTCCTAATTGCATGGATCTGAGCCTTTTCTTTCCTTTTTTTGATAAGATTAGCTAAGGGTTTGTCAATTTTATTTATTCTTTCAAAAAACCAGCTCTTTGTTTCATTTATTTTTTGTATCGTTTTCTTAGTTTCAATTGCATTGATTTCTGCTCGGATCTTTATAATTTCCTCTCTTGTTCGAGCTTTGGGTTTTTCTTGCTCTTGTTTTTCTAGGAGTCTAAGTTTCATCGTTAAGTTGTTTATTTGAGCCCGCTCTGTTTTCCTAGTGTGGGCATTCAATGTTATGAATTTTCCACGTAGAACTGCTTTCATTGTGTCCCAAAGATTCCTGTATGTTGTATTGGCATTCTCATTTATTTGTAAAAACTGTCTAATTTCTTCTTTAATTTCCTCTGTAATCCATTGATTGTTTAGGAGAGTGTTGTTCAGTTTCTATGTGCTTGTGAAGTTTCTATAGTTTCTTGTGCTATTGATCTCCAGTTTGATTGCACTGTGATCTGATAATATACAGGGGATGACTTCAATTTTTTTGTATTTATTTAGACCTGTTCTGTGAGCCAGAATGTGGTCTATCTTGGAGAATGATCCATGTGCAGAGATGGCTACATTTTTTATCAGCACTATATCAGAGATATATTTATGTTTCTTAGAAGAATATGTCCTTGTACCTGTTAAATAGCAAGACTATCAGAATAAAGTGCCCTGTGTGAACCAGGCAATCAATAAATATGAATGAATAAATGAATGAATAGGGAAAATGCCAAGAAAGGGATTACATGTTAATCCTTTTATAATTTATAAATTCTAATAGTCACACTTGCTTTTGTGATTAGGGAAAGAACAAAAATTACTGAATAGAAAGCCTTAGTAAAATATTATATAATCCTACACGTCTACTTATTTGTCATTCTTCCTTTCTTTATCCTAAAGTAAGTGAATTCTTTTAACTTTTCCTCTTAGGCTTGGTTCTCCAATTCTTGAACCAAATTTGTTCTTTCCTGAAATTTTCTCAGGTCCTCTGAGTGGCTCCTAATGTTTCAGATCCTCAAACACTGGACAGAATTCATGAGATGAGATATTGTCCCAATACTTAATATTTGCTGTGACATTGGCAAGAGGGTTACCTCCCAATCCCGTATGTAGAACTTCTGATCTGGAGTTTATAAACCTGAAGATTTAGTAAAAGAGGCTGTACTAGAAAATTTGAAAATAGGCCATCAAGCCAGGCATCAGAGGCATGCACTCATAATCCCAGAACTTTGTGTGCCTGGGTCAAAAGGATTACAAGTTCAAGCCCAGCCTGGGCAACTTAATGAATTAGCAAGATCCTGCCTCAAATTTTAAAAAAAGGGCTGGGGATGTATTTTAATATGAAAGCCCTGGGTTCTATCCCCAGTACCACAAAACAAACAAACCAAAGAAAACCCTCAAACCCAGCCCATGGCTTTAAAGAATACAGAATTTTTCAGAAGCCAAGTGATATTGTTAACCTGGGCTATAATTTCACAGCTCTCTGGAATAGAAGATCTGAAGGCATGTTGCTGCTAGCTTTCTCTGGTCAAAGCTGGTTCAGTTGCTGAGCCTATATTAAGCACTTCACAGTTTAACCCCACATTACTAGGAAGCATATTTGTTTATGTATTGACTTTCTGGAGTGTCACCCTGGCAGGTGTCATTTCAACCAGTCGATTTTTGTTTGCACGAGATACACTTGTGCATCTGTTTGTTTTATATTGAATATTTTTTGCATACTTTTTAAATAAGGACATTGTACTGGCCTTTGATGTTTCTAGTGAAATCTAATAATAAGCACTATTTTCTTTTACTAATTCGTGTTTTGTATTTGTGAAAAATAACCTATAATTTTGTGCTATAATTTATAAAAACTCTTATAAGTACATTATATATAATTTTTATACTCCTCCAGAGCTCAGTGATATTCTTTTATGATACAAAATGGACACGTTTGGACACCCGCGGCCTTGCTAATACTTGGGTTCTTTAAAGTCATAAACTGGGTTTGAGGTTCTTTCCACCCTTCTCTGTTGGATGCCATCTTCTCTCATAGACCCTTACACAATGGACACCTTCCTGGCTCTGTTTGGGCCCCTGTTTTTCTTCTTCTTGTATATTCTCTAAACTTTTCAGACTCTAGGCAGTAACCCAGGGCCAAGTCAATATTACAAATTTGTAACCATTTGTAAGCAACTTTGTAACTCACAGGGAGAAAGAAAAGTGTCACGGAGCATCACTGGTGGCCAGGTTAAGAATCATTCAAGGTATCTTTTGTTTTAGAGGTGTGTGTGGTGGTGGTGGGGAAACACATTGCACACGGTAGATCATATCTCATCAAAAATGTTTGAGAGGTCAGGGTGTGTTGCTCAGTGGTAGAGCACTACTTGTCTAGCGTATGTGAGGCTTCAAGTTCAATACACAGCACCACAAAGTTTGAGAGTCACAAATCTATATAATCTCATTTATTTCTGACTTTGAAATCTCTATTTCTGTATCTATGTTTGTCTCCACCTCCGTATTTCCTATATCTGTGTCATCTGTATTTATATCTATCTATAAGCTTCAATCCTAAATATTTGAGTGCCTACTCAACTTGTGTACACAGAAGACTGACAGTAATTAAAAACCAAAGCTAGAGTTGTCATTTCAGAGTTTCCCCAGCCTCTCTCCACTGGCCACTCCAAACCTGCTTTGCCACCTGTATGTTTTGCTTTAGGGAAAGACATTAGCATCAGGTAAGCTGAAAACCTGGAAGTCATTTTTGGCTCTTCCCCTTCTTCACACCCAATATTCTGTTTCTAAATTTTATTTTCCCTACTTAGCTTCCCAAAAGTTATTTCTGAAATACTTTTCACTCTTCTCTTCTCCATTGCATGTTACCATCCTGATCCAAACCCTTGTCATCTTGCTTCTGGGCACGGAGTCACCTCCTAACTTACCTTTGCAATCCTGTCTTCTGTCTGCAGTGGGAGGGTCTTCTTAGCCACATGTTACTTTCTTACTTAAATCTAAGGATCGAATTACATACCGGCAACTCATTGTGGTCCTGGCATGACAGCACATGCCCATAATCCCAGCACTTTGAGAGTTTGAGTAGGGGGGATTGCAAGTTTGAGGCTAACCTGAGCTACAAAACAAGTTCAAAGCTGGCATGGACTCCATAGCAAGACCTGAGCTATAACCAACCAACCAAGTGACCAAACAAACAAATAACTAACCTGCCAAGGAGGGCCTTCTGGAATGAACCTTGACTACCTGGCCTCCCTACCATTCACAGCTTCCCATCTGAGGCTGCTCATGCTATTTCATATATGTTGTATTCTTGGTTGTCTGGGATTTTAGAGATGTCTTCCTTTCTAGGAACTCTCTTTATCTTTCTGTATACCATCTTATTTGTAGAAGTCTCAGAAGGCTATTGGTTTCTTAGGGAGGTCTTTCTTGGCTCTTAAGACTAGATTTTTTTAGCATAACACACAACCCAGTTATCAATACATACTTGCCCTAAGGTTTCTACTCCCCGTGAGACTACCGACCCCATAAGGGTAAGAATTGTGGCTCTCTCTCCTCTTCACGTTGGTATTCACAGCGCTGTCACAGGGTATAGAACCCTGCAGGGGCACAACCATTGACTAGATAAATGAAGGAAGCTGTGTCCCAGACTTTTCTTCAAACAGTTGTCACGACCAATGACTGTATCATTACAATTTTATATTTTGTAAGGTATCCCTGATTGCTTGTGGGTGAGCACTGTTACTTGAAATATTCCGAGACATTTGTATCTGTTGAACAGCCCAAATAAGTAGGGCCAACTTCAGCCGAAGTTCGTGTGTGCAATGGCAGCATATGTCTTCGCTGGGAGTCTGACTTTTGCCATTCATCTGGCAGTAAGATTCCAGCAAACCGAGCCATTCTAGTGGTTGACCCTCCACTTCTGACTTCTCTGTGCGCCTATAATCAGAATATACCTGCCTAGATGCGACTTGGTGACATGTGAAATAATGCGATCTCTCCCTCACCTCTATCATTTGTTGTTTCTCTGTCTCTTCTACTCCTGGCCCAGTACCAGGCCTAAAACTAGACAGGGGCCAGCAAGGACCCTAGCTTTTGATAATAGAGCTCTTGCTTATTTCATGTTTTTTGCCCTTCAACGTGTCATTCCCCAATATGTCCTTAGGGGTTACTACAATAATTCCTTGGCCTTGGCCTCTCTTTGAAGTTGACCATTAAAATGAGGTTTCTCCCGTTGCTTTTAAGCAATATAGTTAAAGATTACAGTGTGGTTGACCCCTGCCTCCTGCCCCTTCCTCTTATGACGTGATTCTGACTTGTGCTGACCAACCTGCTGATGAGACAGACACGGATGAGCAGCAGAGGAAGGTAGCCGGAAATGGATGTGTTATACTTTAATAGAAAGGGCAACTGCATGTTCCCCACAGTTATCTCAGGACAGGCCATGAAGGTTCATGTACCGTATCCTGTAAAAGCTGCAAAGCTAAACCTTGCCAACACCTGTCTCTTCTACTCCAGCCAAGGCTACAATGAAAGTACAGAGTCCTTCCTGCTGCAGCCAGTCCTCTTTCCTAGTGAGGCTGAGCAGGTATCAGAAAGGATGAAGTCTGGCGTCCTCGCCAGGACCTGGGACTTCAGGAGCGTCCCCATCAGTTGTCACTCCAGCACAGCTTAACGGAGTGGGAACACGGGCCATTTTGCTGCTGTCCCACGCCACCTGCCAGAGGCAGATGTAGACGCAGATGCAAAACAACTGCGTGTTCCCCCCGTCCCCGGAGGCTGTGGAGGCCTCTGCTGGTGGAACAAGTTCAAGTTCTTTCACATCGGGTCCCTGGCACTGTTCCTCCTGATCAGCCTGCATTTGGGAGAGCATGAAGGCTGAGCTGGCTGCTGTGGCCTCTTCGCTGTGGGGAAAGGTATGAGGTGATGTTCCTGGAAAAGCTCTGGGGAAGTTATTATGCTCTTAGTGGCCGCCTTGCTTTGGGACACTCTTTCATCTCGTTTGAGATTTCATGTGGACTCTCAGGTACTTTCCCCCTCACTTTACTTTGACTTTACTCTTTGACTTTCACTCCTTTCCTCCCACTTTCTCCTTGAATACTTTTTGGCAAGTTTCACAATGTTTCTATTTACTTGCGTCCTGCAAGAGAACTCTGTTCTTCAGAAGAGCAGCTTGGCTTGGTTGGGGCCCAGGACACATTTGCAGGGGAAGAACAGTGGGCCACAGGTAGCAAGGTTCTAGGGAGCTGTACCAATAGGAACTGCGCAGGAACTCACTCTCAAAGGGGTTGCAAGCCAGAGGCTCTCGCCAGTGCTTCCGGGAGCTCAAGAGCTGATGGACCAGCGGTTGGGTCCCACCTAGAAGTGAGGAGCCAGGCTTTTGTCTCCTGGCACCAGCCGGCCCCTGGCCACCACTGTTCCTTGCGACGGGGTTATTCGTGGGAAGGTAGCTGCCCTGGGTGGAGGGAAGTTCCTACTGGAACCATGGGGCTGCAACTCAGCTCTGGGGTTTGGGGGGGCAGCCCGATAGAGCTGCTGGTACTTGTGAGGCATACACTAAGGTTGGCTCTGGGATTATAAAGGAAAGCAAGAAACCGAAAGCAGCTGTTGCTGCCACAGTAATTGCTAGGATGAAGCAAACAGAAGGAGCCAGTCCCTGTCCTGCAACCTCTATCCCCCAGTCTCCCTGTAGTGGCCTCCGTTGGCAGAACCTAGCAGGAAGGCCTGGCATCACTAAGCAGAAAGTGCTTACTCCTGGCACAGCTGGCAAATCTGTGTCCACATTCCTGCAAGTGATGATTGGCAGGAGCTGCACAATAGCTGCATTTTCCAAAAGGAACACGTGTCCTCAGCCCCCTGCATCCTCACCTGCCTGGTCTCTCAGACCCACGCAGCTGGGGGCCCTGGAGGGCATTTGTTTGCTCCTCCGTGGGAAAAACTTTCCCCTAAAAAGATCTGAAGTCCTTTTTGAAAAGGGTTCCAAGAATGAGGGGTGAGCATGGGATTTAATGCCCCAAACTTCAGGCGCTGTGAACACAAGTTCTGGGTGCTCTTCTCGCTGGGACTCAAGGTCCCTCCTGTCCCTTCACCAGACCATGGCCCCACGCCCAGCCCCTTGCTGGGAGAGTTCTGGCAAGTCACGTTCCTGGTCCTCTAGGCCTTAGTTGCAGGACTCAGCGAGGGGTTTTTCATCCGTTCCTCCAGCTCCTATTTTATTTTTGCCCTCATTATCCTCCTAGGGAAGCTGGGCTGTAAAGGCCAGGTCATTTTTCCACAGCCTGCAACTCAGCAGGCGCTGTCTCATGAACAAAAAACTCCCTTGAGACACACCAAAGTCCTAAGAGGAGCTATTTTCCCTGTGTATGGATTTGGTTTTTTTGAGAGTATTGATGTAATCAGAGCTTGGCAAGAAAGTCACATTTTTCTGTTTTTCTAAGGAAGGCTACAAACATTTTAGCAAATTATAGATAGAACTGAAGCTAATCATCATTTCGTAAATTGGTCCGCAGCCCAGACCAAGATGCGGGCAGTAGTCTGCAATGCCAGCCACCTTGCAGAGCCGAGAAGGGGCTGGGGCAGGGGCAGGATGCTAAGGGAGGATCCATCTCTGGCTGTAGGAGCCCAGCCTGGAGGGAAGGCACCAAGGGCCTGAGCCCCCTGGCCTCTTTGTGCTCATGGCTCATTGTAAAGCTGCAGGCCTTGGAGGTCCTAGGCTCGTGGAGGACTTGACTGGAGGATCCCCCTTATTTTTCTGCAGTTTAAGACATTGAAATTTGAAGTCTCCAGTCTGTCATTACACCCCACAGCGGCCCCTAGCAGATGAACAGATTCTTCTCGTGGCAGCCATCCAAACATGATCTCGTCTCTCTCATCACTGCCGAATGGGAATTGTCACCCCAGCTCTGCTGCCTGCCCCTGCTTTGTTGATTGTCGAGAACAGAAGAAGGATAGGGAAAACCCGGAGAGGGGTCACAGGGCTAAGCATTTAGCATGCCTTTCCTTGCCTCCAGGAAGTGACCACTCATCCTACCGACTTCTTGAGGGCCTGTTCTGTGCCAAGCCCCATGAATGTTATAACTAAACCTTCAAGTTTGTTCAGAAAACTGAGGCTTGGGGCAAGGAGACAACCAGACATGTGGACCAGATCACATAACGAAGTAATTGTTTAAAAATCTTTTGTACATTATGATTATGTTGAAAAAGAAAGTCTCACTCTGGCATTAATATGTATGCTTATTTTTATCTTCTTTCTTTGCTTTTTGCTGTCACATTTTGGTTTTACTGTATTTTTAATGCTTATATAATGCTTGCTTTTCTCCATTTGACGCCCACCCCTCTTCCTCTTAATAGAGTAAAATAAATCTCAGACTTTGGCAGGCAAGAAAACCAAAGTAGGATTTAATAATATTGTTTAGCATCTGTTGGATCCATTTTCATATTTACTACCCATTTATGGCAAGTGATACAGATTTTCCATTTACAGTGGAGACATGAACTTTTTTTTAAAGTTAACTTACTTTAAAAAAACTGAGTCAAAACTTCAACAAAAAAAAAGCACCTAATCATGTCTGTGCCCAAGACCATGAAGGTATGATCTTGCATAACATGTCCAAATATCTCTGTGCCTTAGTTTCCTCCCATATAAGGACAGTACCTGCCTCACAAAGTTGCTGTGAGATTTACAGGTGCCAACTTATGTAAGCGTATAAAGGATATAAAGTAGTATCTTGGATCTAGTAAGTGTTACATGAGTTCTATACAGTCCTGCTACAAAAATACATGAGGTTTAGAAAAGCTTTTCCCTTAGTTTTTGTGTGCCACCTCAGGAAGGGCAGGCTGAGAAAGCAAGACAACCAGGGGCAGCTAACTTTTAAAAGTAGGTTTGTTGATAAAGCCTGTACTTACTTTCATACAGTTCTATAAAATTGCTGAGTTTGGGGAAATTTTTACTGTGATTTATGTTATTAACAAGCGCTTTTTAATATTCAAATTGTGTTAATTTTCTTTATAGATAATGTAGTCTTTGAAGTTTTTTGTTTTCAGATTGAACCCAAGGAATTTGCACTGAGCTACATCTCTAATCTTTTTTAATTTATTAGGACTAAGTTGTCCAGGTTGGGCTTAATCTTGGGATCCTCCTGTCTCAGCCTCCAGAGCTGCTGAGAAAAATGACCCTTTGAACATATTTCCCCTGCCAGCCTTTCTGACAAACACCCATAGGAAATGGAGAAGAAGAGTCAAATTATGGAGACCGCTTCAATAATCATTTACCAAGTAAAAGGCTTAATTTTTAAAAGCCTGGGACTATCATATCATGCCTATTACTCACAGAGGCGTTAGGGCAATGAGACAAAACTCGGATGGCATCTTCTAAAATACTCAATGTCTAGAATACAAAGTGCAATCAGTGTGTCCAAGGAGAGCCATGAGACAGCTTGTGGGGTACGCTGCAGCGTTACCACAGAGTTGCAACAGGAATGACCTTTCAGGAACACACTGTTTAACTTCAAAGGGAAAAGCCTAGGGCAGGGAGCACTGGACATCAGAGACTGAAATGCAACTTCTCTGGACTCTGAGAACATCACTTGAGGGCTGGGGCTATGACTCAGGGGATGTAACTCAGTTGTGGTACACACACACACACACACACACGCACACACACACGCACACACACACACACACACACCCACGCACACACACAGAACAGAAAGCATAAATTTAAGACTGCAGAATAGAAAGTAAAGGACTATATCCCTCAATCTTTAAACAGGGAATAAAAATCAGAAGGCACAAAAAACATATACAAAGATATGTCAGTATTTTTTATGATAGAGGATAATGGGAAATAATAGATTTTTGGATGGTGTAATCTTCTAACAGCATCAGCATCATCAGGGAAATTGTCGAAAGGGGAAATGCTCAGGCCCTGCATGACCTACTGGATTAGGAGTTCAAGGATGGGACCTCATGTCCATCTGAGCAAGACTTCAGGGTGACCCTGTAATGGAACTCTCAGTTTAGGGTAAAACAACTGCCATATTCTTCACTGTATCTGTTAAAAATTATTCTGCCATACAATGAGTACAAACACACATAAGCATAGAATGGTGATCAGCTGCTTTTTTCTTCTTCCTTTTGCATCCTGATGAAGAGAAATACAATAAGCTGATAAGCCAGTGGAGGACAATTTTACCTAGCCCACTCCTTGCAGAACACCTTAGTCAAGCCTAAGAGGTTTGAAAGTGTAGGGCTTTGGGTGCAGCTCAGTGGTAAAGCATGTACTTAGTATGCACGAGGCCCTGGGTTGGACTCCCAGCCCAAAAATGGCAAAAGTCCAAAAGAAAGGAGAAAGGGACGGCTACTGGAGACAGTAAGGGATCAGAACTTGGGGAGAATTGAGCTTAAATTGAACAAGGAAAAGAAATAAGTCAAGATGTCCACAAATTGTCCAGTGCATGAATATATTAGGTTGGCTTAAAACTATGTGAACTTGGATTTATCAAGAATTTATGAAGTCCCTAGACTAAGAGACACTTATGATTTTGTAGGAAATGGAACAAAGTTCCCACAACGGTGTAATAGATGTAACTCTTCCCAAGGTGAATGGCTATTGGATGATTTAATAATGGCAACCCACGCAGGCACTGCCGTTGTTATCTTACACGGATCTCACAGCTAGACCAGGAGGACAGTTCTGTTTACGCCAACCCTCACACTCCAAGGGCTGCCCTTCTTCCGGCCATCACCTTAGGGTATACAAACCTTAGGAGTAGGAAGGGTCAGAACCTAGAGTGTTGCATCTCAACTCGGTGACTCACAGGTCGGTAAGTTGCCTCGCTGCTTCTCTTCGGTTAGTGAAAGATTGAATGCAATGTCTTTACTGCAATACTATGAGGGTTTTGTTGCTGTGCTTATACAAGTAAGAAGAATGTGGTTTTAAAAGGAGCAGCAAATGTCTTTATCTGAAATCTTTATTGGCACGTTGTCAAGGAACATTAACAATGAACTGTTCTATGAATTGTTTAGATAATGCCCTTATGAAAAATGCCAATTATCTATAAAATAGGATCATAATAGTGCAGCATGGTGTGATCCGAAGGTTTGAATGTGTTCATAAAGTGCTTAGAGCAGTAGGTGACACACAAGAGTGCTCTGTGAGGGTGTTATGTTGATATCATTCTGCTTTGGCAAATCTGTACCAGCTGTCCTTTGCCCCTTCCACTGGTCTTAGACGGCTGTTCTTCTAAAGGCCTCATCTTCCATCCTCCACTTACATTGCCACAGATGTGTCTTGCATGTAGTCTCACCTCCATAATCCCCCACAGCTCAGAAGACCTGGCCCCGCTAGGATCGGAGGACAGATAGACCGGAGAGATGACACACAGAGGAACTCCTCACTGGTGTGTGTCCATACCCACCTTAGGGTTGATTCCTGAGCTGGTTCATGGCCTGTGCAAGCCTTTTCCAAGTGCCCAGACACAGTTCCATCCAACCACCCACTCCAGGCCTCCCCATACCTCAGAATCTGGCTCCAGAAAGAAACAGGTGTGACTTCCTCTGGTGGATAAGGCTAAGGCCACCACTGGAGTGCTCATTGCTTCCCCTGAACGGACCTTTTCCTAGTATGGCACAGAAAGGGAGCATCCTCTCCTCAGGGCAATACTCCGGGTGCCCTCTCCAGATTTGCTGGGAAAAAAATGGACAATGGGTAAATAAGAGAAAAAGCATACAAATGCATGAGCATGCAAAAGGGGAAAACTGCGGCCCGACAGGGTTGGGGGGTCACAGGAGTGTGATTATCTACTTACATAACATGACATAGAAACCCGTACCCCTTTCTCTATAAAAGATGGGGAAAATGGCGCAGACAGGCAATTCAGAGGGCTTGTAAGTGTTTATCAGGGGAATGAATGGCCCGAGAGACAGACTCTTTGGAATGTGAAATGAGCCCAAGGGACAGACGCTGTTTTGCAAGAACAACCCATCCAGGTGTGCTTACATTCCTCTGCCTTTTCTGAGATAGAAATGGAGTTTCAGGTGGGGATGGAAAGAAACTGTGTTCCCCTTGCAGTTGAGCTTAATGAAGATATGGGAGATTCTAGAGAGAGCCTTTATCCTGCCTTGGGATAAAAGGAGAAAGAATGCTTCAAAGGTCTTTTCATTTGCTTTACATTAAATTGTTTGGTATGCTGCAGACTGTCCCATTGGCACTGTCAGTCTCTGGGCCCCAACGCTGCACGCTATTCACAGGGACGTGGGACATCCACGAACCCTAACGATCCAGGAGGGTCTGATTTAGGGATGGTCAGGAAGCACAGTCGTCACTGCAGGTGGATACCCCAGCCTCGCTGTGCTACCCTCAGCTTGTAGCCACTCGCCCCTCCTCACCAGGTTCTCACACATCCTAGGGTTCAGGCTTACCTGCGGTTACCTTGAGCCGCGAGCTTAGGGTGCTGGGAGGCCCAGGTGGTGGTGCAGGATTCAACCTTCCCTGCTCCACCGAGGACTATTTTAGGTATCTTAAAGTTTAGGAGGAATGTGGAGGTCCTTCTGGGAATTAACTCTATTTATAGCATTGCTTCTATGGGAAAGAGGGCTCCACATAACAATCATTTTAAAATGGATTGCTAGAGGATTGCTGGTAATTGTTTCCTCACACGTGGGGATTATATTGAGTTTTTTTAAAAATCAAGTATAAACAAGTAGAACACGGAAAACACAGGTGTTGCTTCCTAAACTTTTAAGGAACATTTTTAAAGGTTTTTTTTTCTAAGGAACAAAGTTTATTTTAAAAGGTGATATTTATTGAGCACTTTCTGCCGACTGGAGACTGAGTTACAGGCTGTGTACATGTTATTTACTTCCCCTCATACCCTCCTAAGGTGACATAATCCATAATCTGACTCCATTTTTGATGTTTTGCCCCTGACAGCTTTCAGGGCCCTCCCCCTTCTGCCTCAAGTCTGGGCAAGGTGAGGAAAGAGCTGTGCTTTCTCCTTCGGCACTGACAGGAAGTCTGAACCCCAGCTGAAAGTGGGGCAGGACTTCATGCTACCCCACCACCAGGAAACCCACAAGCCGGGTCCTCTCTCCACATCCCTAAACCGCTCTCGGATCAGCTTGGGAAACCACCTTACTGCGCACCCCAGTCCTCACCACATGAATGATAATCCCACATTCTTATGATTTCTGGGCATCCGGAGGCTCAACATCCAAGCCAGAATGTGGGGTTCATGTGGGGTTCATGTCGTCTCCATGACAGAACAACAGGTAGGTACAGTACTCTTTTGCAGATGAGCTAACAGGCTCAAAGTTTCAGAGCTAGAAAACAGTAGCATCTTAATCTCTGTTCTTTCTCTAGCTTGGGTTCATGAGTTTTGCCTTTTAAAAATTCGTGAACAATGCTGTGCTGGGAGCTTGTACCTTTTGCTAGTACTTAACGTGTATTGTTCCCAATCCTTTCCATGTGATAACTCATGTTATCTTTTTCCGACTTCTATGAGAGAAATACCTTTGTTTCCCGCTCTTATAGTTGAGGAAGCTGAGAAACAGCAAAATCAGGTAATTTTTCAGCGTCATGCTATGAATAAATGGCAGAACTTGTGGGGGCTGGAGATTTAGCTCAGTGGTGCTGCCACCTGCTTCACAAGTGCAAGGTCCCAAGTTCAATCCTCGGTACCAAAAAAAAAAAAAGAATACTTAAATAGCAGAAGTGGAATGTGAAAATAGTCTGGCTCTGAACCTATCCCCTGAGCCACAGGGCTCTAATTCCGCTTACATGGTATACAAGTAAGCTGGTAATTAACCCGGCTCAGAAGGGTTGCTGTCTCGCCTCCACTTAATTGGACAGCTGCCGTTTAAGGAAAAGCCCTGTATTAGTAACACATTTGCAGATCTTCTATTATTCATACATATTTTACTCAAAACTTATGGAGAAAGGCAATGCTTTGTCGTCTTTGCCACTCTTTCCCCACCCCCAATAACTAGGAGGTTGCTGTTTAGAAAATGAGACCCAACAGGTGCCATTTGAATAGCTGAGAATCACAAGGTGTCGCTGAGTTCTGATAAGTCCCCATAATTTCACCTTTGGCCCATAATTGAACTACCCGTCCTTGCAAGTAGGCCAAGCCTGTCCAACAGTTGCCATGGAAACCCTCTAGCATTCTCGTTCCCTCTCCTGTGCCATCTGTCTGACTAAAGGTACAAGGGAAATAATGATCTGTAATTTCTCATAGGAAAGTACCTTAAATTCACAAGGCCCGAATTTTTTGGTAACCATCTGCTTTCCCACCCAGCGTTCCTTTATTTATGTCTCTGAAGCAAATAAATACAATTCTGTAAAATTTCTGATGGCTGTTCAGCATACACGGTTCCTGGCTCTAGAAACAGTTATGTAGAAAGGTAGTCTTAAACAACCTCAAAAAAACTGAATCAAATAAAACAACTGCGTTACAGCACCGCAGTTGGAACAAATGTTAAAAGTAGTCTCTTATTTCCTTCTGTAGCAGAGGCAAGACTTGCGGCTTTTAACCTGACCCTGACCTTGTCTCCCTGAAAAGCCTTGGGCAAATAGACTAAAAATTTGCTCGTGAACAAAGTTCGTTTAATAATGGCTTCCATGCAGAGCTGCCAGAAGATAAAAGAGCCTATGAAAGGATTTGGAAGAATAAAACCCTCTGGAATGTAATGTCAAGTGTGGTCATCCCTTTGAGGGAGCACGTCAAAGCTGGAGGGTGAAGCATCTGAGCTGGAGACTGCACACAGTTCAGGGTCTGTCAGTCTGTGCCTTGGAGCCCGGGCTCCCTCTGATTTGCCTTGGGAGCTGCCAGGAGTAAGAAGTAAGTCTAGTCAACCTCCGGACTCACAGACCCAACTTCCCTGGCTCTCTGCATTTATTTGATTCTCCTCTGAAGATCCCCATGAAACATTTTAACAGAGGACTCCATGATTTCAAAGCGGTTTGAGAAGCCCTTGTTATATAATCCAACCCCCCATATTAGAGAGGAGGATGCGGAAGACAGGCTGTGATTTGCTAACACTGAGAGACACTCGGGTGGAAGTGGGACTGGAAAACCCCTCGCTCCCCAGGCCACTTCTCTGTCGGTGTCGTTGGGGCTCGCAGAACAGTGTGTGTGCCTGCATTTGCCCACTCAGAGCCTCCTACCCTGAACTCCCTTCCCCTATGCCCTTCCTCATTCTCTGGTTTTCTTTTCATCTGACCAACTGGATTTGCTACCTCACAAAAACTTTTTCCAACAACAAACCTGTTCACTTCTCTGGTAGGTAACCAGATAAATATTTATTTCCTAGAAATCCCTAGTGCTCTGTGTCTTGAAAGCAATGAACTGTGCTGGCGCATTTCAACAAGTGTCTGCGCCTCAGCATCCCCAAATTATCATCTTACATGGACTCACTTCAAAGTAAACTTGACTCATTTTTGTGGTGGAAAAGTGATGGACAGAAGTTAAATAATTAAAATTATTTATTAGTCATAGCTTTTTTCAGTAAGGTCTTTTAAGGAGTCAAAAACCATAATAGTTGTAACAGTAACAGTGGTAATTAAGGAGCAGAGTCAGGTTGTTTGGTAAATGGAACAGCCGGAGTATCACAGCATTGAAACCAGAAGGGACCACGGAGACTATTTCCCCTTCAGAAGAATTCACGGTTCCCAAAGTGACCCTGTCATCTCTCTCAATGCTGCTGTCATTTCTTGAGCATTTACTGGGGACCAAAAATCTTTCTAAACATTGTCATTTAATCTCCATAATCATTCTTATTGTTCTCCCCTTTCTACTGATATGGAAACTGAGGTCCAGAAAGATTAAGTCAGGACCATATCCTTGCATGACCAGAAAGCATGTCATTGACTTTGTTTACATTGCAAATGGAACCTTCTGGAGCATAAAGCAGGAGGCTTGGGTGAAGTGACTCCCGGTTTCACAGAGCTGGTGAGTGGCAGCATTGGGAATCACATCTAGGACTGTCCTCATCCAAAACTCATGTTGTAATTGCTAATCATGAATTTGCTCCAGAAATCCACAAGTGCGCTCAGACTCTGAGAGTCATGTTCTTATAATGGTCACTCAAGAAAAGAGTTTAGGCTTGGCACCATGGCTCCCACCTGTAATCCTAGCTACTCAGGATATTGAGGCACAAGGAGTGCAATTCAAGGCCAGCCTAGACAATCTAGAGTCCCTGTCTCAATGTGAAAATTAATAAAGCATTGGGGATGGAGCTCAGTGGTAGAGTTATGCATGCACGCGCACACACACATGCACACACACACACACACACACACTATGGAATTAAGCAGACTGTTAAGTATTGGGCATGATTCAAACTCAAGACAAGGCGAGTGTGCACCTAGGTCTTCCTCCTTCCCTCCCTCCCGGCTTTACTTTCCAAATTCTGTGTTAATTTCATGGTACAACCTTAGCTTTTATTTCTAAACAATTTCAGAGAAAAGTTGCAACAAGACTAAAGAACACTCAAATGCCTGTTATCTTGATTCACCAGTTATTAATATTTTATTGCATTTGTGCTCCCTCGCTCCCTCTCTTCCCCTCCCTCTCCCTCTTTGTCTCTTCCTCTCCTCCCTCCCCATGTTAGCATTCAGGAATCACTGTGTACTCACACACACACAGAAAATTTTTCATGATCTTGAAGCGTGGTTCCCGGGAACCAGCACTAACTTATTGTTTGATAATGTGCTTCCTGGTCCTCCAGACACCCTGTTACCGATTGAGTCAGGAGCGACAGGCAGCAAGCTGCATTTTCGCAGGCCTCTGGGTTATTCCAATGCTCACACAGGTTTGAGAACCACTGCCTCATGGAAGACCCCTGAGGGCAAATTGTTCCAAATGCAAGGTGTTTTTCTTATGAAAGGAAATAAGCTGGGAAAAGTTGCGAAGTATAGCTTAGTTCTGCTAGTGTTGCCTGTGACATAGAAGAACCATTGTTGGATTTTGCTACATCCCTGTACTGCTTAGTATGAAGGAATACTATAGGCTAAAGTAAACTGTAGGATTCATTTTCTAATTGAAAATTTCAGATGTGATTTTTCAAATTATTCCCTGGAATGAATTAATTTCTGTGAACTTAATCCCTCTGAAACTGTTCAAAGCTCACTACTCATGCTAATACCCAAAATCTTACAGAAATACAATTATAATCACTATAGAGAAGCTGGATGATTAGATAAATTACCGTGTTCACCAAAGTGGTTTATGATAATTTTCAGAGGATGAAAAGTTGTTCTGAATCTATCCTTTCTAGAAAGCAGTTTAAAAAGGTTGTCAAATGCTGAAGTAACTGATGAAATCATCAACCACATAAACTTTCATTAGTATCTACAATTACAAAATTATCTCTCCCCTTTAAATAAATGATTCGGGGTTTTACATCCTACAAAATGAAGGCTTCCATCACGTGTGTGCATGCGTGCAAGTGCGCATGGCTGTGTGTGTGTGTGTATGTGTGTGTGTGTGTGTGTGTGTGTGGTTGACTCTGAGTCTCACATTTGGTTAACATGGTTACCAGCACTTACTTGTCTCTGTAGCTTGAGTCAGTACCAGCCGCCATAAAACAGTCTGATTAGGGTTGTGTATATAGAGCAAGGATAAACTTCTAAAGATGGAATGCTGGAAAATATTTCCTGGCTATTAAAGTGTATATCTCCATGAAGTCGTCCTTTTAGGGAGGTTTCTTCTCAGTTAACGTGAAATGACCATGAACAGATTTTCCAAGTCTAAATAATGTTCTGCTTACTTCAGACACAAATCAATTTCTAATTCTTTTAAAAGAGAAATGGACATTTTTCGCGTTTTATCTTTAAAAAATAAATTGCTGGCCGCAAACCTTTTATGCCACATCTGGGCTTCTTTTTTTAAAAGTTGCAGTTACAGCAGTATGGTTTAGCTAAGAACAAATAAAAACTCCTCATACACAAAGCCATAATTGAGCACTTTGGTATTGTTGTTGTTGTTGATGCTGTTGAGACAGGGTTTCACTTTATAGTGCAGAGTGGCCTTGAACTCACTTTGTAGCCCAGGCTGGCCTCAAACCCATAGTGATCCTCCTGTCTCAGCCTCCCAGTGCTGAGATTACAGGCGTGTGCCAATATTCCCAGCTCTAAGTACTCATATTTTAGTGCGTGTTTATAATACAGTGTAGAATAGTAATGTTGGGGAATTGGCACATGCAAATAACACATCTTGATCATTTTCAATCCCTTTACTCCTTTACCTTTCTTCCCTCCAAAGAGATCCTTT